GCAGTAAGTGCGCGTCGCACTTCCTGCGCAGCGGCAGCAGCAGTGATAGTATGCTCTGAATGCCTAGTAGCCAGACCACGGGACCCTATAGAGCTGGAAGCCCTTGAACCCGAAGAAAGGGATGAGCGGGGCCGACGTGAGAGAGCACTAGTGAGACGCAACAAGAGGCTAGGCGATAAACTGGAGCTAGCAGAGGAGGAAGTGACCTGAGCTATGGAAGATGGAGACAGAACAGGTGAGATACCAGGGGTGGTGAGACGCTGCCTTGTAGAGGAACGAAGAACCCTGCTAGAAGGCGCTACGGGTAGGGGAGCCAGTCGAATAGAGCTGCGTGTGACTGCCGAAGGTACCGAAGGAGATGGCGCAGGAGGAAGCTCGGTTCTGATGATTTGGACACTGTCATCCAAAGATATAGGTCTTGAGGCCGAGCCAATTTGCCCCAAAGGACTGGGTGACTGACGGAGGTTGGAGAGTATGGCAGATAGGGCCGAGGCTCGAGTGAGGCCTCGACTACGCGCACGCGAGGTGCAAGCTAAGGAAGGTGGTGGCGCTGGCGGAGGGTTTATCAGCTCAGATAGACTCGGAATCTGACCGATACGACGAGATGAATGAGTTGATGAAGTTAAAGGGACTGTTGCATCAGCGCATGGAGGATTCGATGAGAGAGAAGAGACAAACGTTGACATAGGACGGTTCCAAGAGCGAGGACCAACATCGATGTAGGAAGGGGTATGTAGGACAAGACCGGCATTATCCACAGCGGCTACATCACTGTCGCCCCTTACTATCGTACCGCTAGAACTGTTACTACTATCACTAATTCCAATGCCACCTATGTGATGGTTGTCTGGCATGAGTTGACTAGAAGTCGAGCAACTGCTGCCAAGGCATGTGGTCAATCCGATTCCAAGTTGTCCATGATCCGGCTCTGAGTCAGGGCCTCGAGAAACAGCGGCAGCCCGACTTCCAGCGTTTCTCAGATATTGAAGTAGTGAGAATTTAGCAGAGAGCATGGAGGATGGTTGGGAGACTGGCAGATTGGTGCCGGAACTGCTGCCGGTGTTGTTGGTGTTGCTTGAAGCAGATATACTGGTTGAACAGTGGTCGAAAAGTATGCTTGGATAGCCAGTCTATATAGGTTAGGAAAGAGAGAGAATAATGTGTAAGGACTAAAGGAACATAAATTGCGAAAGGGAAAGATAGGCCTTGAGACCAACAAGATTAATGCGAGTTGGTGTGGATTAGAGTAGTGATGAATTAAACAAAATTGCCAAGAAATTTCATCAGTAAATGAGTGCCTTGAAATGAGCATTGATCATACCTGGAATAATAGATTATTCCAAAATAATGTTTGATGAATAGCAATGTAAACAAAATGTTAGTCTAAACTGCGTGGCTATTTTGGCCTGACAATTAGTTGAAGTATTGGACCTTAAGCTAGGCAAGAATGTTGAGCTTCTGGTATGAACAAAAAAAAAGCTTACACGAAATTCCAATCTAGTTTACTCGACATCGTTGAGAAGTCTTACTATAACAAATGAGTAAGGAAAATTCGTAGAGTTAAATCAGGCAGATATGAAGACCAAGATGTTGTGGCCTCTGGTGAGGTCGCAGTCTCCTTTCGATTGATAGAAGTGGGTTGACCTCGTTGTCGCAACTTG